TCAAAAAAAAATGTTTCATTCTTGGTTCTTTTATTTGGGCTTTACATAGCATCGGGCCCTCAGCTTCATCTTTTGCCACCAAATCGCTCAGCTTTTTTCTTCCGCTAAGACTTGGGCCTCAGTTTGTTTCTCCTTGGAATGCCCGCTTGATCCTTTTTTAAAACCAAACCCTTCTCTCTTTTCTTTAGTTTGTTGTTCTCGGAATGTCAAATACACACCAAAATGGGGAAGAACAATTACCTACTCCTGTATATTTGGAGAAATAAACAACAAAATTAATTATTATAATGATATATATGTACTTAATTTGTCCGAACAAGGAATCGCAATCAGTCATTGTATTTGAACAATTAATTAATGCGTATACTTGATGAGGTAAAGAAAGTTGGGGCTTAGTTAAAATAATTTGTTTCAATAAGATTGGGTTTTGATCTCCAGCTAGCATTTGTAAAGTTTTTTAAAAATTTTTTGCTTAAACCTTGATTTCTCATGTATAAAAAAAGTTGACTATCTAATTATATATGTTATATGAAGAAAAAAAGAACAGACGATGAAACTTCTTTGCATTGATTAACGACATCCATTGGTCTATTTATGAGTTTTTTCCTCGTTAATTTTTATAGACATTTTGCACTATCTAGACTAGAGATAAGCAGAACAGGTTTATTCACGGATATTACTACTTTAGTTATGTTGTTTGTTCAACTTTTTCTTTTCTCATCGGTCATGGGGTACGTCAAACTTATGTCCTTTTAGGACAATGATGTTCGTTGATGTGACCTTTAATTGTTTTGGTTGGCGATGACGTGCTCCGTTCAGTTAATTTTTAGTAGATTGAGATTCAAAATTTCTTAGCCTTTTCTTTGTCATATGTATTTTCATATGCGAGTGAATGCATGTGCAATTCTCGTATATAAATCCTGCCTTTATTTAATACTAGAAATGCATCTCTTGGATTTCATGGCTCCCCAAAGATGTATATTTTAGTTGGTCTTCGAGTGTTATCTGGGGAAGAAAAGGAAAAGAATCTTTTTCTCATCAAAGATTCATGAAGTGAAGGACACAGAAATCTACGTTGAAATTAATGTGATTTGTCTGATAAATTAACTAATCTCAGAGAATGTGAATTCAATCCCACGTAAATTGGTATAATCTGGTTATAATGTTATTAGGAACATGAAGAACCGAGGGAGGTATCTCATACGTATATACATACATACATATATATGAGGAAATAATCAATTTATATCAATGCAAAATTTTTTTGTTTTATATCTTTTTTAACTATTAATTTTAATAAATCAAAAGGATGATATTAAATTATTTTTATAATTTATTTCTCTCGTTTTTGAAATTTATTGAAATCAATTATTAAAAAAATGTAAAAAAGTGTAAAATTTTTTTGTCTAACTTGATCCCTCTCATATATATATATATATATATATATATATATATAAGGGGTTAATTTACACAATATAACTCTTTTTTAGTTTTATACTTTTTAATTCTTAATTTTAATAGATCCAAAGAATGAGAAAAATAAGTAAAAAAAAAAAAAAATTAATCACATCCTTTAAATTTATTAAAATCAATGATTAAAAAATGTGTAAAATTAAAAAAGTTTTACATTATGTAAATTGATCTCTTCTCATATATATAGAGAAGAAGGATTAACTCACATTGCATAAAATTTTTAATTCTACATATTTTTTAACTTTTAATTTTAATAGATCAAATAAATGAGATTAATTTTTTTTCTATTTTAATTAGTCTCTGTCAATCCTTAAATTTATTGAAATTAAAAATAAAAAATATATACAAAAATTTTAATTTTACATTACATAAATTAATCACTCCTCGTATATTTATATATTAGTGGCATGGGATGATGACAAAAGTATCTTGTAGTATTTTGTTTTACTAGGTACATTGATAACGTCAATGCGCCTGGCCGACTTTTTTCATCTGTTCTATTAGGGAAAAATAAAAAAGTACAAACTACGAACCATTCTTTTTAATGCTACATACTTCCAACTGAGTATAACTGATATAAGAATATACAACTTTGAACACCTTTTGCAATATCAATTATTAAAGGTTTAGCAATTATTAAAAGTATGTTTGGATGAGAAATGTTAAAAAAAATTATTTGTAAAGAAATTTTTAAAATTTTAAAATGAAATTACTTTGTTTGGCCAAATAAAATTTTGAATTTTGAATGAACAATTTTGAAAAACTCAAATTGTCTTTTTAAATTCCTTCTAAAGAGGAGGAATTTGTGAAATTACTTGGTTGTGTGGTAAGAAATCAACATTTATTATTATTTTTACACAACTTTTTTATTTTTTAATTTTAATTACAAAAATTTAGTATAAAATCTGTGTTTTAAAACTTTAATTTTGTTAGTAATATTATACACATTTTTACAAATATAATGATATTCATATTGCATATATTACTTAGTATTCTATTTTTTATCTTTAATAATATTTTTTTTATCTCATCAAATTTTAATATTTAAATTTTTTTCTAAAAAATAATTTATCTAAACAATATAATTAAAAATTCGATTACTTTAAATGGATGCATTTTAAAATATTAACATTTTTTAATTTTTTAAAATTTTAAACTTTTTACATCTGAACACCTTAAGGATTTAGCAATTGAAGTACATAAAAATCAAACTGCGAAAAAGCAATCTAAAACCTTAAATCAGTCAGAAAATTAAACTAATGAATGATCTGGTCGGGGTAGTACGATCGAGGGAAGAAGATACAGTCAACATCAAGGCTGATGTGGCAATGTTTACTAATTCTGCTATATTTTCAAAATAAAATGAATGAACAATTAAGAAATCTATTTAGTATGAAATTAATGTAAATTGTATTTATTAGACAACAATAGATAATTTTATTTCATAAGTAATTAATCTTTTCAAAAGTTATTTTTTTCACTTGTAAAGGGTTGTCACCGGTAATTTTTTGAGTTTTAAAAGATGTGAACTCAATAAATTAATAAATTAATAAATTTGAAAAAAATCAACAAAGTTTTGATTAAGTTGTTTATAAATAAAAATATAAGAATCACTCTAATAGATTATATATAAAAAAAATCTATTCACTCAAGAAACTTTCCTCATTTTATATAACATAGATCAAATCTCTTATATATTATTCCTTGTAGAAAATAATATATAAGAAAGAAATATTTAACGGTTTTATTTCATTAATGCAAAACAAAGTAAATTAAGAGCTATTTGATTCGCCCTCTTATGCACTATAAATGATGAAGGAGAGCACGCCCTAAAACTATACTCTCTCATGTTAGGGGCGGACTGTAAGTGTAGCCCAAAACATTTTGAAAAATCCTTTAATATATTTTAGAATTATTTTCTTAATTTAAATTAAATTGACTTTCATATTAAAATTATTTTTTATTATTTTATTTTTCATCTTTAACTTAATTTTATACATTGATATTTAAGGGGAATTAAAATTACATTATAATTTGTATATTTATTATAATTACTATCATTATTCACAAACCTAAAAATAGTATACTTGTCACAAATATTAATTCGTATTCATATACACTTAAAAAATATATATATATTTTTTAGTTTTCTCAAACAAGGTTTCAAGTTTTCAATAAAGTATTAAAGGTGTATTGCTTTTTATTGGGGTATTTATCTTCTAATATCTTTTGAATCATTTTCAATTTTTCCTTAATAAGACTTCAAATGAACAACATTTTACTATTGTGATACTGTTACAAGTAAGGTAAAACTAATTTGTCTCACAATGATCTAAACTTAGTCACATTTTTCAGTGGTGGGTAAATAATCTAATATTTGGTGAATTATACTTCACAGTGATAAGAAAAACCAACATTGAAGGATCAAAAAATAACATCATTATGAACATTTAACTGCCACAAGTCAGTTATCTTTGTGATAACTTTTTAAATATCTCTAACTTCAAATTTCGAAAGTTTAAAAGATTAATAGACCATGCTTTCACGGTTCCTATTTGTATTAAAATCAAAATTTTGAATTCTTTATTTTATTTTAAAAAAAATATCTATATTCAACTCATATGCAATAAATATGGATATGGAAGTTGGAAAATCTACATATATAAAAAAAAAAAAAAAAAAAAAAAAAAAAAAACTTACAAAAATGAGTATATTTGTGTTGGGCACAAACTCATATCTAACATTCATTCTCAAAATCTAATAACATAGCAAATGATAATTTTACTTGATCGTTCCAAAATCAAATATAAAAATCCGCCACTGTTTCGGATTATAACTTTCATTATGAAACTAGTGCAAATTGCATCTATTGGGTAACAATTTGTTTCATAAGTAATTAAACCTTTTTTGAAATATGTTCTTTAACTTTTAAATGTTTGCTAATATCATTTATTGAGTTGCAAAAAATGTAAATTTAATTAATAGATAAATTGATTGAACCATCAACAAAATTGAAGAATTACAGCCCTTAAAAAGTATGAAAAATTTCAACATTTGATAAAAAAATCTATTCACCTTAGAAACTTTACTCACTTTATATGAAACAAACTAAATCTTATATACATTATTTCCTAAAAAAAATAATATATTAGAAAATTGATTTTATCATTAATTCGAAAATATTTAGTGGTTTGATGTTATTTATACTGAAAAGTGAAGTCAAATAAATAACGGTATATCTTATAACTATTCAATTCACCTCGTTACACATAATAAATAATGGTACGAAATAAGCCTAAAAAAATTATTTGCAATCATATTATCTCGTGTCAATATCTCTTGAACTGAGATGTTTCAATCACCACTGACATTTGATTTACTACCTCTTACTCTGTTTAACTAAGGCCGCCTGCATCTTGGGTAAACAATAGCTGTAATTATAATATCCAAGTATCATGCAGTCTACAGAATACGAGGCTTAGCTTATAAGAATTCGAAATTTCACGGTCGAACCATAAGCACCACAAGCCTTGTATTAACGGTTTAAACTTGAAGTTGATAGTCACCGAGTATCATGGCTGACAATGCTATTGTGCACCCACCCGAGAACAAGTGGAGCCTGAGGAGAATGCCGGTAATTGTCCTCTTCAAAGATGCGAGGTACAGTATCAACCTGCTGCTTTCACATTTCTGTGTTTTAAGTATGAACTATCAAATGGAGGTACTTAGACCTGGTGTTAATGGATTAGTTTCTACGTTTAACAATAGTAGTTTCTTCGTTTGAGGTTTAGTCTTCGCTTTAGTGTTTCAAAAAATTTTCATTGAAATCTAAAGAGAGAAACATTTCGTGTTATTTGGCTAATTTTTTGGTTCACAAATTTATTTTAGGCTTGTTTTCAAAACGGATTCACTTGGCATGGAGATACTAAGGATCGCACTCCCTGCCGCCTTGGCCTTAGCTGCTGATCCCATCGCTTCTCTGATTGACACGGTATTCATTGGCCATCTAGGTCTGTGCTCATATGCTATATATGCTCTTTCTATAGATTCCTGGGTGCCTGTTATCGGGATAACTGCATGATAATCAAGGGTCTTGTCTATAGATGGACTGGTGTAGCATCGATCTAACATGTTCAAAACTTCAAACGTTCCGTACATGCGTGATCTACTTCATTGATGTTCTTATATTCTTGATGTAAACCGTTCTCTTGAAGCAAATTTTATCTATGTAGGGCCGGTGGAGCTAGCTGCTGTAGGAGTTTCCATCGCTATATTCAATCAAGCATCAAGGATTACCATTTTCCCGCTGGTTAGCATAACAACTTCTTTTGTTGCTGAAGAAGACACTCTAGGAAAAATTAGCCCTGAGGCGAGAAAAGATGAGGATTTGGAAAAGAGTGAACAAAAAAACAATGAAATGAAAGAGTCGGCCCAGGAAGATGTTGTGGCCGAGAACTTGGAAAACGATGCAGCTAGAAATACTGATACGAAAGAGGCAGAGGATGGTACTCGATCTTCCTCTCTCCGATTTTTTAGTGATATGTTAAAGGCTAGAGTAGATGATGCATTTAAAATATATGATTTGAGGTTATCTTGGAGCATGCAGCCTGTCATATATATTGTCCCCATTAGCATTCCGAATCTCCTGTAACAAGACAATTTGAATATTGGTGATTTGTTTGTCAGGTTCAAGCACAAATACATGTAAGTCGCCCTCTGCAATTGCTAGCAAAACTGAAAATCCTGAAGTGAAAAAAGGGAAAAGACATATCCCTTCAGCGTCAACAGCATTGATTCTTGGTTCAATTCTTGGTCTCCTGCAAGTTATATTCCTTGTATTTGGGGCAAAAATTCTCCTGAGTTTTATGGGTGTGAAACATGTAAGTGTCAGCATCACATAACACTGTTGGCTTTCAAATGTATTTAGTTCACTTTTTGTCAGTTCATATAACATTGTTGGCTCTCAGTTTTGTATTTTGAATGAAAGAGATGCTACAGAGAAATATCTAAATAATGCTTGAAACGAGAACTAAATAAAACCAATTTTATTGAACAGGATTCGCCAATGCTAAACCCAGCACTAAAGTACTTGATTTTGAGGTCTCTAGGCGCTCCTGCAGTTCTTCTGTCTTTGGCCATGCAAGGGGTTTTCCGAGGATTTAAGGATACAAAAACACCTTTATATGCTACTGGTAGGCAGGCAGAGGTTTCACGTCAAATTTTTTTTAGGGGATAAGTTATGTTTTAGTAGTAACTGTTGCTGCTATTTGATATGGGTTTATGCTACAACCGTTTTATCTTATCCATCGCCTGTTCTTTTCTTCCCTAATACAACAGTAGCAGGAGACCTAACAAATATCATTTTGGACCCAATATTTATCTTTGCCTTACGACTAGGCGTCAGCGGTGCAGCCATAGCACATGTCCTTTCTCAGTAAGTAAATTAACTGTACGTCTTTGCTGACCTCCTAATCTTGTTTTTAAAGTCTGTCTGAGCATTCTTCACTGCTAAATTTCTATCAGGTATTTGATTTCGCTCATCCTCTTGTGGCGATTGATGAAAGAAGTTAATCTTTTATCTCCAAGCGTCAAAGACCTGCAATTTGGACGATTTCTTAAAAATGGTAAGCGCTACCACTTTATCAGCATTTCAATAGTTGAGCAAATAAACAGCACTTTAGACTTTAGAGTATATTTGGTGCATAATATTATAAGAGTTTATATTTAATATATTGTCAGTATATAAATTTTATACACTATCAGTAAATCAAATAATAACACTTTATTAATGAGCAAATATCAACTCTTAAAATAAATATACACAAATTAAATTTTTTTTTAAAAATTTATTCATTGATGAGGTATTATTAACTAATTTATCTCATTAATAAATTATCATAATTTGATATATTGACAGATAAGATTATAGATAGGATTAGATTAAGAGTGAAATAATATAAGATTATAGATAGGATTGGTTTAGATGATGTTATCTTATTTTATATTTGGTGTTTGTGAGGATTAAGAGTACTATCATAGGATGATTTTTATCTTCCACCATATTTGTTATGTGTAAACTTAAGAGTAGGATAAAATGATTTTTTTTATCAGTCAAAATTACTATTCTTTCATGTAAAAGTAATTTAAATTTATAATTTTTTTGTTATATAAATGTAATTCAAAAATTTTTTCCTAAAAAATAGATATTTTCTGTTGTATGTGCACCAAATATAAAATAAGATGATAATCAACTTAATACATATATTTTTTATTTTCTAAACCTGGTTATGCTGTCTGAGCTTCAATTATTCTCATTTCTATTAAAATTTTATTTTTGGTCTCATTTAAACTGGCTGGTTGCCTATCTATAAGAATGCAGGACTAATTCACTTTGCCTCTGCTCTAACAAATAACAATAATACTTATCACGCATGACCACAGGTTTTCTATTATTAGGAAGAGTAATAGCAGTCACATTCTGTGTTACATTGGCAGCATCAATGGCCGCTCGGCTAGGTTCAACGCCTATGGCCGCATTCCAGATCTGCTTACAGGTCTGGATAACATCATCTCTTCTTGCAGATGGTTTAGCTGTTGCTGGACAGGTAACATTTTTTTTTTTTTTTTGCTAAAATAGCTAGGGACAGTTTTCTTGTAGTTATGTGATCACTATTATTACTTCATAGAATGTCAAAACCATCCTTTAAATGGGATAAGAAGATTATATGCACCTGACTGACATGAAATTGCATAAGCACGTACAGAAGATCATACAATGATATAAAATTGAGAAAAACTCGTCTTCTTATTACTAGCTAGTAATTACATGTGTTTTGTGCAAGACTTGAGACAGACTTGGAATGGGAACGTTAATTGGTTGATTAAATTATCTGTAATGTTGTCCTCACCCACATTTAGGCAATTATTGCTTGTGCATTTGCTGAGAAGGACTACAAGAAGGTGACAGCTGCGGCATCTCGGGTAATGCAGGTACTGCAAAAAAAAAAAAAAAATTGCTGACACTAATTCTCTGTAATTGCTCAAACTTGATGAAGTAGCTTCGTTTCTATGAAATGCGGCACAGTTCATTCAGTATATATTTAATTAACCAAGTAGCTAGCCACATTGTGAACATGTTTATAATCATGCACCTGCGTGGATCCAACATGCAGTTAGCTAATTGTTGAAAGGTTTGAGTTTTGCAGATGAGTTTTGTCCTTGGTGTGGGGCTTGCTGTTGTTGTTGGAGTTGGTTTGTACTTTGGGTCAGGAATCTTCTCCAAAGATGCTAGCGTTCTGCACCTTATAAGTATAGGAGTACCGGTAATTAATTGTTGATGCATCTACGTATTTACAAGCTCAAAATTTTAACTATATACTTATGTTGTAATTTCTTTATAATTCTATATATGATCTTTAATTATAACTAACTTTATTTCTCTCCCTCCGCCCCCCCATCCATCAGTTTGTAGCAGCTACGCAGCCAATCAACTCATTGTCGTTCGTGTTTGACGGTGTCAACTATGGAGCATCTGACTTTGCATACACAGCTTACTCCATGGTATAGTATCAACCTGTCCACACACGTATATCTTTCCCTCTCTCAACTCTCTTCTATAAATATTTACCTGTCTGATTAATTTCTTCATTCTTCAGGTAATTGTAGCTGGAGCAAGCATTGCATCATTATTCCTTCTGTCCAAAAGCAACGGTTTTCTAGGAATCTGGATTGCGTTAACCATTTACATGGCTCTGCGTACCGTTGCTGGAGTTTGGAGGTAAAACCTTCTTAGTTCCTATTCCATATATATAATATATTATAATATATAGCGATCCATGACAGAATAATTATATGCTTCTCGTCGTTAATTTATGCATCAAACGTAGAATTGGAAGCATGTAATTAGACATTAAGAATCTAGCTATTAAATGGTTGTTGCGGTAATATTAATTTGTATGCTGCCAAGCTGATCGACAGTGCTGCTATACATACATTGCAGGATGGGGACTGGAACTGGACCTTGGCGCTTCCTAAGAAGTCAATCGAAGACATAGGATTTGGAACTCCAAGGAAAAAAAGTCATTATTGTTTTCTTAGAATGTCTGTTTTCTTTGCAACTATATTGCTCTTCCTGTCCTGTCGTTTGCGTGGTGGTGTTTGGTTCGTTGCTAACCACTTAGATTTTTAGTTTCCTATTACTTTTTTAGTAACGGTATATGTATAAAAGTTAGGTTTATACCAGCTGCCTTTCTCTTCATCTTCATTATCTTTTCTACTTCATGTACCCAAAAATTGCAAAATAAATCTACAAGTGTGTGATGCAGCAGCAGCAGCAGCAGCAAATCACTCTTTCTTTCCACAATTTTTCTTTTTCTGGTTCACAATTTCCATAATGTTTATGATTCTAAAGTAATCGTCATTCTCTTCCGCCAAGAACAGTTGTTTAACCTTTTCTGCACTGCTGGCTCTAGATTTCACGGGCCATCAGATGGCTTGATTCGGCCCATCTGGGCCACTCTGATTCGGGCCAATCGATATTTTATTGACCCACATCAAGACTTTACAAAAAATAAATAGTCAAAACTATTATCTCTACTGTTATAAAAGAGGAATACTAGTGCTGTTTTTTGAAAACCAGTAACATTATTGTTTATTTATTGTAAAACCAAGACAAAAGCCATAAAAGAAAAAGGCCAGTTTCAGTAGCTTTACTGGGCAGGTTGGCCTGGCCTGGCCTCTGCTTTGCCCACCGATCCTACACTCTTTGAGTTTAGGTTCTTCCGCCGTCAAACAATCAATAAACCTACTTGCCGCTTTCCGTCTGTTTCCTTGCAAATCCTATTCCTAGGTTTAATTTTGTCTCCTTACCCTTCTGATAAACTTACTTCCTGTCTTCTGTTCATCAAGACAGCTGAACGCCAAAGTGCAAAACAACCCAACAGCTACACCACATTCCTCCGTAGTACAATATACAACTACTGACATAAATAGGTAATTCACCTTCTTTCATTTATTAGAAACTCTACCATACTTAATTGCTCCAGCAAATCACCTGAATTATCAACTATCAAGTATATAAAATAACCCTTTCAAATTGCTCTTCATTCTTTTGCTGTCGCTTTAAACTCGTAACAAGCTGAAAGAACCGGATTCTATTTATCAAAAAAAAAAAAAGAAAAAACCCATGTTTCTCATTTTTGTTTTTTTCGTTCTGTTGTCTACAGGAATGTAAATGATACATTAATACTCGAAAATTATTCGAATAACTCGATTTATCGATTAAATCGAATTCAAGTATTTTTATATTCTATTCTAATAGTTTACGAGCTTAATCGAATTTTTATATTTAAATATATTTTTATTATTTTAATTAATAAAATATTTTAAATTCGAGTTTGAGCATAAATAATCGAACTTTTGTTGAGTATATGAATCGAACTTATTTTTACATATTAATCGAGTTTAATCGAGCGAGTTCAAGTAGTTTGAATTCGATCACGAATCGAACTCGAACTTAAAAAATAAAATTCAATCGAGTTCGAACCGACTATCAAACCTCAAGTTATGAGTCGAACTCGAACTTTTTATTATATCGACTCGACACGATTACACCCTAACAACACTACCTTGTTAATCCAAGCACAATAGGTGCCAATTTCTTCTACTTAGTGCGTGTGCAGATAAAACAAACCTAAAGAGATTCAAATTTGGGATCCGTAAACCAACTTCTAAAAGTAATTGATCCGACCAGAATAGACAATGGCAGCTGAACCAGAGAAAAAGCCGAAAGGATATGTTCATTCTTTTATTATTATGCTATTACGAACTTCTTAACCATGCATGAATCATGACCCATTGGTTAAAATAATGAAGCTTGGTCATTGTTGTAATCATATACAATGTTTTTGATCCCCAAAAGAGGCCGCTTTCGTTTATGGTGGCCTTCTTGGTTATGATTTATGAATATGATTATCAAATCTATGATACAGATGATGATTATTTGAACCAAAACAATACACTTGTGAATTAAGCAAACCTTAATTCCTAACCGACCAAACCTTAATTCCTAACCGACCTTTAAAGCCAGAGCCCTGCGAGGCCTACCACTTGCCCCACACATCACTATCAATTACGAGAGAAGAAAGACAACCATTTCTTATCTGACTCCATAAACGACCAACCCACCTACTATTTTTTTTTTTTTGGAGTTGTTGGCATCATACAGAGGTACATCATCATCCCACTCCCCTAAAAGAGAACAGCCCCATCATCTTCAGAAAGTTGGATGACTTTGGATCCACTCCACATTCCTTTTTCATGGAAAAATATCCCTTACTTACGACCTACAACGACTAGTACCATCCCCAATCCCACATTTCATTATCCTCTCAAGAAAGATTGAAAGATCCAAAAATATATCCTCCCAACTAACCCCCATCCCCAAGAGGGGACCGCCACATCACAGATCCCCACTACTTGACTAAATCACATGAATCAAATCATCTTCAAAAGAGCGAGAGAAAGGGAGCAAAATGAATGCAAAAGAATGTTAAAAATTTAGAACAAAAAATAGAGGTATTAAAATTGAAATAATAATTTTAATTCGGTTTTACATCATCCAAAGGAAACGCATTAGCTGCCACCCCCCTGCCCCCCCCCCCCCCCTCCCCCATCCTTCATTCGATTATGATCCCACAAATGCATTTTCTAATCATATGCACACCTTCTACATCATATAACAAACAATCACCTCTCCTCTCCCTCGGTATTCTTTCTTCACTAACTTACCAATTTTTAACATATTGAAGTAAAATAAAACATCAAAAGGATACAAAACCTTTAAACATGTAGCTATCCTTCCTTCAAAATGAAAACAGCAAGGAACAAATAATCCTAAACACAGACATATGACGAAAGAGAAAGACCAGAAACTAGGCCTGAATACCTAATATTAGCCCAGATTGAGGCTTCCTACACTTTTGCAGGAATTCCGTTGTAAATTAAAAAAAAAAAAATTGAATAAAATTCCCAGAAATTTCCCGCCTACTCTTTAGGCCACGCATGTTTTTTCTGCCTTTACCACACTTTCACTTTCCAGAGCTATCTTCCTCACTGGCAAAAGACCCACAAAAATATGTATCTTGAGAAATCTGTTTTTTACCTATCTTGATGACAAAAAAGTTTTTTTTTTTTTTTTTACCTAGACTACAAGTTGATCGTGCTGCATCTGCTCGAGCCAAGCCCCTATAACAGAATGATCAACAGAATCGATTTGGGAATTAGAATTATTCAGAACCTCACCAGATGATGCATCAACTGGGAGAGAAACTGCCAACTTCTCTTTTACCATTTCAGGTGGGGATTCCTTCACAAGAGATTGGACCCATGACAAATCAGGCTCCTCACCAATGTTCCCAGGCTCAAATGATGATGATCTCCGCAATTGTCCCATTTCATCTCCACTGACTGACCAGTCCAACTTTCCATTAGGTGATCCCCACTTGGACCAACAAGAATCCACAGGAGCTCCAGCAATAGAAGCATGATTATTGAATCCAAGTTCCCTAGAGCTAATGCTGCGTAGCTGCTGTTGTTGCTTCTCAAGCTGAACAAATGCAGATAGGCGAGCAGCCATAGGGGAGATTGGCTCCGCGCTTCTAGGTGACATTCTTCCTGGAGACCCAACACCAAAGAAAGCCTGTAACCGAAGATGCTCAATGTTTTTGGGTGAGAAAACACTTGTATTGATTGGAGATAACATGCTCTGTTGCTGATGGAATTGATTGAGAACAGTAGATTTATGAGTTGGGGAAAATACAGCAGAAGCAGCTGTCTGATCAGTATATTGAGGAGTTGAAGAGATTTCTGCAGAAAATAGCTCTTCAAGGTTTGAAGGAGTTAATGTTTTAGATCGACCAGAACGACTCATAGACACAGAACTGTTATGGGACCGAGAGAAACAGGTTAAATCATTTAGAATCTGTTGCTGTGCATCAAAATCTGGCAACATGTCAAAGTCCTCAGGTGGGATGTCTCGAGCACTAAGGGAGGATCTCAGGCGGCTTGATTGAAGGTTACTTCCAGGGAGCTGAAGTGTTGGAACATTTGGCTGGGACCATGCTACAGGTGAGTGTGAAAGCCCATTAGACGATGGAGACATGGGCTGGTTAAATGGAGAAGGGGGTGGGGATGATACTGTTGACGGTGAACCAGGAAAAACATTCATAGCAGCAGCCATGTCCATGAAATTAACAACAGATGCAGATGAGCGTGGTGAAGGAACAGCAGAACCAGTAGAGACATACAGTGGGCGGAGTTCCTCGGCAGTGTGCGCAAAAAAGCAGACCCGCCTATTGCAACTTGTGCCATCCTTGCACAGCCGAGTCCGGTATTGAGCTGGATGTAGCCAACATTCAAAAACTCCATGAGCATATTCACACATATCCCCACGTCTACAAGCCCCTTTTCTGAAATCAGGGCAAGGCACACAGCTGTAGTGGTACTTTCGTGGGTCCCTTCTACGCGCATTCTCTCCTGGATGGACAAAAGGACACTCTGTCCAATCATGGGAGTATGCTCTTGAGCAAGGACGGATCTTGAATGAATACATACGGAACTCATCAGTTGCATAAATGCTGTTCTTGATATCAGGGAGAGATGGATCAACTGGGTATTCTTTCTTCTCTATTGTGGAGTTAAAAGGCATATCAAGGAATTTGGAAGCCATTGGAGAAGATGTTAGATCCGAAGGAGAGGGTGGTGATCCATTCTCCAGTGAAGAAGAAAGGGTTGGCGAACTAGAAGTAGAGTCATCAACAGACATCCGCAAATTGTGCTCCCCAAAAGTGTCATCAGAAACATGTCCTGAAAGAAGTTCTTCCAAAACAGCTCTCATGCTTTGGAGTTTGGGATGTACTATAATAACATCGGCAGGTCGGCAGCCAATGGCATCAGTGCAGTTTGGATCAGCACCAGCTGATAAAAGTAGCTTGACAACATCAAATGCATGAAGAGATCCACCAGAGGCAGCACAGTGAAGGGCAGTGCTTTTTTCCGTGCCACATGATAGGTTGACATCAGCCCCTGAGTGAGTCAGTATAAGCTTAACAACATCAACACTACCATAGGTAGCAGCAACCATTAATGGAGTTCTATGCTTTGCAACTATTTGGTTTGAGCCCTTTTCACGACTATACCAAAGTCCAACCTCATCGATTGAAGAAGCATCCTGCTCTATAGATTGCTTAATGCCCTCAACATCATTGTTAGAAGCAAGCTCAAGTAAGCTGGAAAAGGAATTTTCAGTTTTCATGGTTACGCAATTCATGTCTTTGGTGTTAGTTGTAGTTTCTTCAGTAGAAGTTGGAGTGAATTCAGATTTTGATCGCTCTGGACCACCGCACATGCTTCAGTTAGCTGGAAGTTCATGAACCAATAACAAATAACCAGTCAAATCAAATTAAAAGATGTTTGAATCACATGGCCAGACTGAACATCTCAAGAAAAATAAGGTAAATGACCATAAAAATAGCAAAAGAAGGCAAGGCAGCACCAATTAAAAAAAAGGAACAAATCAGGTTCAGGAGAAACACAACAAATCGTAAGAAAAAAAAAATCCGTCAACGAAATGAAACCGTTACATGTACAAAGAAAACCAGATTTTGGATAGAATTACTTCATCCTTTAAAAAGAAACGGAAAACATGCAACATAAAAACTATACTACTAATTATCAGATTTTCACCAATTCTTCTTTTCTGTATCTTTCCAAACAGAGTATAGTTAATATGATGAATAAAGCTGAAAAAGTAGTGTTCACGTGAGAGTACACATGCATTATCAGTAAGCAAAGGTGGCTACTCTGGTTATTTAAACTTAAAAAAAAAAAAAAAAACAACAACAATACATACTGATTAATAGAGAAAATCTATTGATCACCAAACAGAACTCAAAGAATTAATAAGAAACAGCCAAAAGTGTTAGCCAATTGAAAATTATTAGGTACAAGAATCATAATCTTCTGTCAGATGACAGATCCGGTCATAATTTATAATAATCTAGATAAATACTGGACAGTAAATTGACAAGTCCAACGATTCTTATTCTCAAGATAAGAGAATTTTTATCATTAATACGTAGAAGAATTATACGACATTGTTTATAGGTTAAAAAAAAAGACACATGGAAAGTAGTATTAAAAAAGAAAAAGAAAAAGAAAACTTATCTCATGCAAGGAATAAAACACAGACAAAGCAAGAATAAGATCAAAAGAGATTTAGTGAATATGGATTAGTGCTACATATCAACCCAGAATAAGAACTCAATCTTTAGGCTTTACGGTAGTGATGACTTTAATCTATTAGTATTAATTAAGATTTAAGCCACTAATATTTTCAAAATTAACGAATTAAAACATCAAGCATTGCTCAATAAAGTTATAATATATCTAAAAATAAAACGATGAAAAAAAAATCTTTACCCATCCTTTTCCACCATTCTTTGCTCAAAATCACTCAATCAAAGCACAAATATCCAAAGGTAACAACTATCCCCGATCTTTAAAAAAAAAAAAACTAAAACAATGAAAAAAATAGCATCTCAAAATTTACAACATCACTAAACACATAAAAAGATGGAATCTTTAGCGAAAAGAAAAAAAATTGCCAATCAATTCCAATTTTGCTAAACAGAAAACCCATTCCTTTGAAATTTGCATTTTTCAGCTATTTATAAAGAATAAAAAGAAAACAAAACAAAAGGAAATCGAAACGCAAATCAGTTGATCACAAAGTTAATGTCTAAACTTGAAGAGTAAGAGATCAATACAATATTTAAAAGTAAACTTACCGAAAGAAAAAGAACAACTCGGAAGCCAAAAATCTGCTAAGCAGAGCAAAGTTGAAACAGATCTAAGGAGAGAGAGAAATATAGCGGCGTAGTTGAAAGCATTCAACTGTTGTTTTTAAGGATCCAAAGAGTAAATATCAAGGGCTAGAGTAAGAACAGCCTTTTATTAAACAACAAAAAAATTTATCGTCAGATATAATCTCCATCGATGCTATCAATAAAAAGAAAACCAATGAAAGAGAATTTTTTTTTTTTTTTTTTGAAGTCTTGTAGAGAGAGAAATAGAGTAAAGAGGGAGGGAGTGCGGTTCTAGAGGGAGAAAGTAACGTCTCGAAATTGAAATTGAAATTGAAATGAAATGAGGAAATAATGCAAATTCATGTTTTGAAAATCTTTCGGAAATAAAAAAGAGAAAAAAAGCCCGTAGTTCTCGGGGCTTGGGGAGAGGAAAATGGGAGAATATGAATGAAATTATATTGAAATTCACATTAAATGAAATTCAAATGAGAGTCAAATTCGGTAGATCCGAAGCCTGTTTCCTTTAGGGTTTGGAGATTGGATTAGATTTAGAGGGTGACCGCTTGGACCAGTTACGTAAAAATTTACATCCGCAAGGCAGGGAGAATCGGAGATTTTAAGCTATGTTTGATGCAGCGTCTCAATATAATTAATTAATTATAATTTTAAATTATGTAAATAAAACACACTTTTATAAGATTATAATAAAAAAACTATAAATGAACCCATTCTTAAGCATTTTTGTAACTTATATACTATTTATTACTCACAATAAATTCTTTTTAATCAAAATATGCTTGGAAAAAAATATTATTATTTTATTTTTGTTTATAAAACAGTTTGTGTGAATAAAAGTTACTCTTTCACAAAATCAGAGAATTCTGCGGAGTTAAAACAAAAATTTACAAATTATTAAGGAAATTATTAACAATAAAAACTGAACATAAATTTTATAAGTGAAATATTTAGTGTTATTATCTCAATCATAATTGGTTCACTTTTTAAAAAATGAACCTATTTAAAATAAATATATAAAATGCGAAAAATAAAATCATAATCTACTAAAATCAGATAACATAATTTTATAATCACCTACTTATTATTTTATTATACTTTCTTTAGAGTCATTTTTTATTTCAACGTGACAAATAAATTGAACCTTAATATTTCCAATTGTGAACAACTATAATGGAATATGTATCAAATGTCATTTTACATTAACAATGTGAATAAACAAAACAAAAAAAAAAAAAAAAAAAACACGAAACGCTTGTTAAAACTTTTCCCAAATAGATCAAGGCTATCGGCTGTCCAGGCCAGACTACGGTCACAGTGAAGGAATCCGGTGAAAGCGGACGTGAAATTAAGGTGAATTGGAGTTTGGGAGGTGTTGGAGTCCGCCAATCAGAGTCAGGGCAATGGTGAATTCAATTGTGGAAAAAATGCGCTTGCTTTGGATTTTAAGGCCCAAGAACTTACAAAAACCTGACGAAATCTTAAAATGAATTTGTTTTTCCTAATTTTTTAGTTGTAATTTACGTGGAAAAAGTTTCCTTCTTTTTTTTTTTTTTTTCCCTATCACTTCATCTGGTAGCCTTAGGTGCCCATGAAAAAGACAGATGCATCTTAACCAAAAAATCCAAAGAGGGGAAGGCTTATATCACTTGGAAAATGTCAAAGCCCAGTGTACTACTCCACAATTAAAGCATGAATTTCTCACCCCAAAAGTAAGAAAAACAATTACCTCTATCTTAGTAGTTAGTATCCATAAAAATATTAGTTGTTGTTGTATTTATGATTATGAAGAGGCAATTTGTTGACTATAAAAGATTTTTTTTATTGCATTGGAAAGCAATTTATCATTTGGTCAACCCACAGGCCACAGTGTTAGGGCTCGAAATTTCAATGTAGACGTTCCTTAAAGAAAGAATATCTGGTTGGCTTAATTTCAAAAATAAGAAAAGAAAAGAAAACTAATTACACAAGTTTTTAGTTATACGGTTTTTTTTTTTTTTTGTGGTTAAATTACCTGGCTTCAGGGTAATTAAGAGGGAAGATTTCATGTGCATATTCCCGTTTCGAGTGTTAATTTGTGGAGATGAAGGCGATTGGAGTGCATCTGCACAATATCTTGGTGAATACTTTCAACTTTGAACCATGAGTTTTGAGTCTGAAATAATATCATTGTACTAGCTAATTAATTTTTATCCAAAGTTGTTCAGCGTGAACAATTTGAAATATAAAAGATATGCCTTTTTCCGTTATCATCCTTGTTCATTATGCAGAAAGAGATACTCCCATTGCTTTTGATCTTTCGTCCTTTTTTTTTTTTTTTTCATGCCCTCTCGTTTTCTCTATTATTATAGAGTACTAGTACAAACCCAAAACCAAAAGCTATTTCATAAAAAAAAAAAAAAAAAAAGAACAGAAAGAAACAGTGCGAGATCATATTTGAGGGCCACATGAATTTCGGGAGGGTTTTGATAAGTCCATTTCAACAACCTTGGAGAGCAGCTAACTGATAGAGATTTACAAACAAAACCCGAAAGAGCGGTTGCCCCATCCTAAAAAGTTTCCCTTGCTAATAAGCCCAGGCCACATGCAATGTCATTTCATATTTTTCCTTGGTGACGGACGATGACAAAGATTTCATATTTCCCTCTATTTAGAAACCACCGTTTTTTTGGGTAAATGTATTTGTTATTCCATGATTTCTGTCGATGCCCTCACCATGGTACACTTGGCAGCCATGTCTATAATTTCCTTCTAGCTAAGGTCCCCATCATAAGATCAATGTGGTGTGTTGTTTTCTAGCATCTTCACTCTATCAAAATTCTGGATGATTCCTCTCTGGCTCTCACAGCCAAAAGAATTCAGTGCTGTATGGATAATACTACTAATATACATATACGTTATTCATCTAACAAAAAAAAAAATTTAATGATGCATATGCGAGGACAATTTTCCATCTAAGCAAAGGACTCATCATCAATCGATGGGGCCATCAAGTACCAACTCTGGCTAGATGGGATGATCTGAACCGTTGCATTGAACCAAAGTGATTCGAATACTTCTATCACCACAGAACCGTCCAAGATAAAAGTTGCCTTTTCCTTTTTAGATTTTACATGTTTTTATACTACATTTATTGATTGGCACAATTACAGGGAAAGGATCGGAAAACAGACAGGGATTGACCAAATGGAACGGACAATTACGTTTCTTCGTCTTGTCAATCACATGATCCTGGACGATTAGACCACTGATTTTCTATTTCTAAAAAAAAAAAAAAAGGAGTTCGAAAAAACTTAAAAACCTAATTGGACTATGATTGAGGGAACATAATAAGCAAAATTTTTTGGTACAACTTAATTTATAGGCATAATAGGCAATGCCGGTCGAGCTGAAGGGTAAAAGAAATATAGGCCGCAATTATAGTTGGTGACTAATTTCACAAGCCCATGTAGGAAGCATGCAAAAATAATAAAGGACTAGTGCTCACACGGCCCAATATTATCCATGTAAAAATAAAACAAATCAAAACAGAACACCCATCAAGTTTTGATCCTTGGCCCTTGCTTTGTGTTGGGAGTGCTTTCCCTTGAACACATTGTTTCACCAGTTGTTTGTTTCCCTTCTTGCGCGCCTTCTTCTCAATATCGACATTCTCTTCTCTCTTCTTCTCTGCTACTAATTCTTCCTCCAACTGCATACACAGCTGATTCAAATACACCATGTTCGGTTAATTAATTTAGTATCAAATTTATGCTCAGTTAATTATTACTCATCTCCAGTACTAGTATACCTTTAGTAGACGGTCCTCTACTTGGTCCAGCCTCTCGATGAGGGTTCCTTTAACCTGAATCTCCGCCATCACATGATCAATAGGACGGCAGCGCTTCTCCAGGCTCCTTGGGGAGGAACCAATGGATGATGGATGGCCCTCTGTACTGGTCAAGGTCCCACTTGATGGGGTGGACGACGCGCAAGAGCTCCTGGAAGGCCTGTTGCAACCTCTCATTTCCTGTAACTGCCTTAACTGATCATCATCATATATACAACAAAACACAAACATCATCAAAAATATTAATCTAACAGAGTACGAAATACCCCTATAAGTATTAAACAGTACTTAGTAAGAGAAATTAAGCCGAAAGTTAATACTATATACTCGTACATTTCCAGATTGCCTCAAAGTGGCATCACGAAACGGATGTACCACGTTGTCTAATCGATCTAGTTTAGAGAGAACCGGTTCTTCACCGATGATAGCCATTTGAAAATAATCGAAATTTCACGGGTAATAGAGTTTTTTTTTTTTTTTCCTCTCTGTTTTATGCCAAATTTGATGAATTTGGTGATGAAGAGAAAAGCTCGGGATGAGTCTTAAAATAGCAGTAGTACTGGCGTAGTAACTAAAGAAATGATATAAATAGGGTTATACGTGGCAGCATGTGTCACCACTTCTATCTTGCAAGTGTTAAGAGTAATGCGGACCATACCCATATGATTAGGATAATGATAAAATACAGGTCAGGGGTTTGCACGCAATGAACGTTGCAGACCAAAGTTAGCTGTTTGTTTGTATAATTGTACGTACTATAGCTACTATGTGTTTTCTTATGTGATGTGAGGGATCGTTGAACGGAGTCAACCAGAGCCAGTGATGTTATTGTTAGACAACCAAAAATTCAGGAACAGTAGCCTTTCTGGTTATAAACTTTAAACATTACTTGCATTTGCCCTATAATGAACTAATGATCTTCTTGTTTTAGTGGCATATATATACATATATATATATATATATATATGATGATGATGATGATGAGGAGGAGGAGGAGGAGGAGGAGCTTGAGGAAATTGCTTCTTCTAGCAGGAGGTATTTGTGTTTTAACCAAGGTTACTGATGCTGGAATTAACAGGCACTTGCATGTGGCTAGAATATCAGTAAATGTCTTCTAGTAGGATGTTCTCATGTGATTAATTTGCTGTCTTTGCTTGGGTTGCTTGGTGCTCAGGTATAATAAAACAACGAAAATTCCATCCATAAATGATCAACGACACAAATATCCTTTTCGATTTTCCATCTCATGTAGCTCCGTTTTACAAACGATCCCCACTTTTAAAGTACAACACAAAAAGCATCATTGTACTCCAAAAGTTATCTACTTGAATAAATAGTACTTTCCAGAAGTTCTAACCATAAGTTATGTCCAAAATATTACATTACACTCCGGGTAAAACAAGATGATGTCATCCAACCTATATTCTACACATGATGTGAATTGGCATACACACAATATAATTAAAGACAGAGCAAGAGAAGGAACGTAATTCCCACCTTGGCATTTACAGCTTGGTGAGACCAAAACACGCGATCAATCTAGTATCAGTTGTCGCTCTTAACAGTTGATTCCACACTGTTCTACATCCGGGCCGGTAACTCTTGTGGTAAAGGGATCAATCCGCACCCACAACAAAGAGAAAATGGAGGCAAGCAGAATTGACCATACGACAACAATGGTAGGTGTCCGGTTTTGCCGTCCCATCAAACCTTTCAAGAAGGGGTAGAGATGGATGATCACCCAGAAGGCGAAGAACAGCTTACCAAATAGCGGACCCCAAGATTGATAACCACTGTTGATGGCATATGAGATTCCTGCAACAACCCCCACCAAATTTATAATCAGGAGAGTAGTTGGTGGGATGAGAAGTGTTGTCCATTTGAACATGTAAAGTTCAGCAAAATCTCCGTCTTCGTCCGATGCTTTTGAAGTGACAGTGAAATTAGTGTCAATGCCAGCAAGAACTTTGAGAAGCCCTTGGAAAACAGCAAAAAGATGCGACGAGACACCACCAATAACCCAAAACTGTTCATTTCTCCACCACTCATCAATTCCAACACCACTCCACCTCATTTCTAAAATTCCAGTTGCAAAGATGGAAAGAAAGAGGGATATAAACCATAAACTAGCAATGTTACTAATCTGCAGTCACAGCAAACCAAACAAAATAATTAGCATAAAATGCAGCCTTATGAAGAAAGAGAAATTGTTTGATATAGTTTAAGTCTTTTAACTCCACAAATAACATTAATAGGATGACATATGTCTTTTCTCGTATATTTAAAAAAATAAAAAACCTAATTAAAAAAAAAAGAAGTGGGACATGTCCTTTATGGTATATGTAAAGAAAATTTTAAAAAAAAACTAATTAGAAAATGGGACATGTGTCATCAAATTTACTGTATCAAATAATTTTTCTTTAAGAAAATAATGAGTTAATGAAGTAATAATAATTTCATTAAAAAAATTACTGATAAGGTCTATTTCGAGAAGAGTCATGTCTTCACAAAAGCATATAAACATGAACCCGACTCATAATGGGTTATAAATATCCAATAATAAATTAAAAAAATACTGATTAAATATGCAAACGCCAGACAGGCAACAAGTTTTTTTTGGATAACTAGAAAGAGGATAAGTAACGAGTTTAGGATTAGACAGGGCCAGGTATATGCGCATATATGCAGAAGAAACAAAGAACTATACAGAGAAGAGTAACCTGTGGGATAATGAACTTGTTAGTGAGAAGACAGACAGCAGGCAGTGTGCAATACATGACAAGAGGAATAGCAGTGACTGGGTAGATAGTAGTGTTAACATACGCAAACCGTTCAAGCCACTTCAGCCTACCACCATAGCCATACCAGATAGGGCAATGCCTACTGAAAAGAATTTCCACAGAACCAAGAGCCCATCGAAGCACTTGGTTCAGACGATCTGAAAGATTAATAGGAGCAGACCCTTTAAAGGCTGGGTGCTTTGGCATGCAGTAAATTGACCGCCAACCACGGGCATGCATTTTGAATCCTGTAAGAATATCTTCTGTAACAGAACCATAGATCCATCCGATCTGCAGACAAAAGGAAAGACGCTGAGGACATGAAACAAATATACATGCACAGAGGACAAGAGATAATCCTGCACAAGCAACAGAAAATGAAATGTAAAGCGGAATAAAAGCAAGCATTTGTCCAACTTCCCAGGAATGACTATGGATTTCTAAAATTCAACATCAGGTTTCAAATATGCAGACAGTCCCTGATCTAGGAGCACAAAAATGCACTCAAAATAAGCTTATATTCATCTACAGGTAATTTATCGGTTATTATACTATACTCTAATTCCTTTCTTCTTCAAAAGCCCTAAAAGAAAAAATTTTACATAATTCAGTATGTTAATAACATAAACTCAACAGCCACAAAATCCAGCAATCAATTTTTCATGTAGTGGGGTCAAACACTCTTAAAGCAATAAACATTTCAGGGTGAAAAAGGGGGGGGGGGGGGGGGGGGAAGTAGGAGAGGAGCAACTTACCTCACTTCCCCAATCTGTTTTGTCCTCATATCCACAGCTGATAACATGAATTGCTTCCTTAAGAAGTGTTTCTGGTGTTGCAGACTGAGGGACACCACCATTCTCCATAAGTGTAGAGGCAACAAAAACAGCAGACTGACCAAAACGTTTCTCCAGGCTCATTTGTGACATAAGTAGTGACTTTTCATCATCAAACCCAGCACCTGATTTCCGAAATGTAAAAGGGAGGACATGGAAGAGACTTCCTCATTTGGCCAAAAAAGGCATGTAAATAATATTCAGTGCTAAACTCATAAAGCCAAGAAAGCATATAGTTTACCTTCAACACCCTCTTCTATATCCTCTAGACTGAATATTGGCACAGTAGGATCAACATGCTTGCCAGATTTCTTCTTGTCTGATCCCTTTTTGCTTGATTTTGAACTCTTCTTATGAGAACCTCCACAGAGTGAAGACAGCACACCTGCTTTTCTATGCTTCGGCTTAAGTGGAGGTTCATATCCATACAATGCTGTTCTATTGAAAACACATCCCGTACCGACATAAACAGGTCCTTGAATTCCATCCTGACCCCTCAAGTTTATCTGGAATATCATAAAGTATAGAAGATGTGTCAGAAAGAATTCTATAGCCTGTATGTTCCGTAAAAACTGGCACACCAGTTATTATAACTGTAAAAACTAATCAGTAACATCATTAGCAAATATGCAAATATTTAGCTTAGTAAAAGATATGGACCTTACATCAAAGAAAACAGTATTTCTATTGGCATATCTATCATTCCGATCAATACCATCAAATCTTTGTGGAAATTGGACATAACAAACATGCTTCCCAAGGTTTGGATCCATCAGAAAACACATAGCTTCTCTTAAGGCCTTGCTATTATTTATGTAGTGATCACAATCAAGATTTAACAAGAAAGGTCCATTAGTAAGAACTGCTGACACTCGAACCTGCAAGAAAGAGTCATTCGAAACTAGGTTGAGATAAGATGACAACAAAAAAGCATACAAATAAAGTTTGATTTAAGAAGCCACTTACAAGTGCATTCATAGCACCAGCTTTCTTGTGGTGTTGGAAGCCTGGCCGCTTTTCACGAGAAACATAAACTAACCTAGGCAGCTCATTGCCCTCAGCATCAAGGCCCCCACTCTGGCCTAAGAAAACCTACAAATTTTACAAAAGCTTAGTGAAATTAATAATGGATGCAAATTACTTATAGTTCTGGCAACCAATTAACCTCATCTGAAATAATTATAACCATGTAGATAACATGATGATTACAAAATACACTTAAAATGGAGTGGAATAACTCACAAGCAAATTTGTTTCTAACTCATGTGTCCATTAATATTTAACTTCCTTATCTACCATTAAACGAACACAAGGCAAACATGCTAAAACACTTGTGGAGTGTCTGCAGTCCACTGAGTATATAGAATTTTTTATAATCCAGAAAATAAGGAATAATCACCATCCTGATGACAGCAGATGCATGAGTAGTGTATCTATGAATGCAAAAATAGTCCTACCTGGATCATTCCCGGATGGTCTCTGGTGTTATTACCAGGCCATGGCGTCCCATCCTGCATAATCCATCCTTCTTCAGGAACTTTCTGTGCCTTTGCAACAAGCCCATTAATTCTAACTTTAAATTCTTCATATTCTCTCTGCAATAGAAACAAAGAAGTGACCACGACAAAAATTTGAATATGAAGAAATTGGAAACCAAGGACCAACCACGCTAAATCCTTACCTTCATAGCTCTACGATCTTTAACAAATGATGGTTGAACTTTATCCTTCAGATAGTCAATCTTCTGTGCAAAATACCATTCTGGAGCCCGAGGCTCAATGTTATATTTCTTGCAGAACGGTACCCATTTCCTGGCAAACTCTGATGTCTCAGACAGTGCCTCAAATGTTAACATAGCAGCACCATCATCAGAAACATAGCAGGAGACCTTGTCAACAGGGTAGTCAACTGCAAGAATGGATAGCACAGTGTTGGCTGTTACAAGCGGAGGCTCCTTTAATGGGTCAACCGTACTCACAAAAATGTCAACAGCAGCTAATTGCGACGGTTCTCCTTCACAATCGTATCTGTTTTACAGACAAGGAATTGAAATCACAAAAACAAGAATAAGACAAGGACTGAAATGAAACAACTGCTTAAAATATATTAGCAAGGATTCATGAGATTGGCAGGATGAAACATCCTACCTTAAGGCAAGCCTATCAAGATATGTTTCACGGTTAACAGGAAGCCATTTAGGGAACTGATCCAATATCCAGGATATTGCAAACCAAATTTCACATATCACAGATATCAACCACAGAGCATAGGCATTTGGAACAGGGTTCGTTATTCGATAGTGCAAGAAAATGCAGAGAATAATGAGCCGCAGAATGATGACC